TGGAAATCGCTTACATGTCTAAGTCACACTCACACACACAGCGAGAGGCATACAAGTATAGACGATAGAAGATAGTTTAGTGTCCGTTTATCCAAACCATCGTGCAGACATAAGATATATACACGAAAAATTTGCTCCGGCTAAATGTGAATGTGGCGAACGCACTTATGTTTTCATATCAAAACAATCTTAGGCCACATCCATTAAATGAACCTTTTGATTTGATTTTTCTGTTGTACTGTTCTCCGTGTTTTTTTTTATTTCGATTTTCTTGATGCGATAGTGCGTTTCAATTGGTTTCGTTTGGTGTATCTCAGTCAGTGCGGTTATGCGAACAAGGAGGAAGTGGATGTATGGAATCTGGCATACCCAAACACAACAGACAGACAGACATACGGCCACATGTTTCATTGCCATGTCTTTCGTTTGGTTCGGTAACTTGGATGGGTTTCGGCATTGCTTACGCTTGTGATATAAACACCATTAGCAAATTACAAATTGATGGAATTAAATGTAAATCTTTTCATTAAGTTAACTAGTGAAATTCATTGCATTCGGTGCTTTTGTTTCATACTGTAATTGATAGTACTGTGTGTGGGTGTATGTATGCGATGCTTACCACTCACAGATGGATTTGATATTTGAATATGTGAAGCATCAGCAATGAGATTGTTCACTTGAATACACACACCATATTCATTCGTTCAACATTGTTTTCTATCTATCCATGATCTGATTGCGTTAGACCGTGGAATATAGCAGCAGAAGAAAAAAAATCAGATCCTATAATCAAATTAGACTTCAAAAGAGTAAGCGTGACACGTTTTGCAAGAATATGGAAGAGACAATGTGCTATGGCGAGAGGCAAAGTCCAGTGAACAGAAAAAAAAACAATAAGAAAAAGAAGAAAAAGAACCCACTACGTAAAATGTATCCAACGAGATTAGATAGTGAATCAATTTATTACATGGCGTAAGACATGACACAATCAAGGTTTGTCTAGTTTCACTGCTTATCTAAATCTCTTCCATTTCCATTGAATGGGATCCGCAAATCATCGATTAATGTCACTTGAATAATGGTCATATCAAATAAAAATGACAGCCTTTTGTGTATTTAAAAAAAAGTAGAAAAAGAAAAAGAAGAAGAAGGAGAAGAAAAAAGAATTTCCCTTTGAGTTGCTTGCCGTCTTTTTTCCCCCGTCATTATTTTGTGTCTCAGTCGCACACTCAGCGCATTCAGTGATCTATGGTTGTATGAGCACTTGTCTTTTGTTGTCTTGTCAAGAGAGAGTGAGTGAGAAATTGCGAAATATTCATTCCTCTTTTGCTTTCGATTCGAAAGTTTTAATTAGTACGAAAATCCAAAGAAACTGCTTTTGTCATCGCCGAACAAACGGCTGTGAAGTTTGATTTTTCAATTTGCCTCATCAGCTGAATTTTTTCTCGCACCCGCTGTTGTTGCTCACCTCCTCTCACCCTCTCCTGCTCTTATCCCATGCCCCCATTGAAATAAATCACCTTCTCTACGGCTTTTGTACTCGTTTCAAGTGGACGTCGTACAATTTTTTTTTATCCTGTTATCATCGTCAATTCTGTTCTGTGTACTGTTCGTAGTCATCGTATTCTATTAAGAATGCTTCTTCGATCAAATTAGCAAAAATGTTCGAGGGAGAAGAAACGACCAACGACTACATATATTCCCCTTTTTTCTGTTCAATTCACTTCTTCCTGTTCACACTGAAATGCGTCGGTTTCGATGTTCCATGCTCGAAATAAAATGAAATAATGGGTTGTCATATTGAAGCAAATTAGTTGCGAAGGTGTGTGCTATTCACAAGCTATGTATCCGGCATTCGATGGAATTTTTTTAATGATATTTAGAAAACTAAAATCCATTTCCATGCTGAAGACATGTTTTGATGCCGATGCTGATGCTGCTGCTGCTGTTGTTGTAGTTGGTGTTGTGGCCTTGGTGACAGGCCAGGCATTTTGTTTGGACCAAAAACCCCGAAATATTTTCGCAAAAGCGTCGAGCCATTTCAATTACAAAAGCTTTCGCATTTTTGATTTATTAATGATGGCAGTCTAAATAGAAAATCGAACAATTACAAACGCTTTGGCCTGGTGTGTTATTTTCTGTGAAAATGTATTTCGAAAATGCCGTGGCGTGGTCGGTCAGTCAGTTGCCGATGGCCAAAAATAAAACGGAAAAATTATGTACACATAGAGCCATCGAATGTACAAAGAGACCGACGGTCATATACACAGAGCAGAAGAGCCGTTAGAGATCGAGTGTGAGGATGAGTGAGAAAGTTTGTTTTGCTTTTGGTTCGATTGAATGAACGAACGAACGAACGGACAGACGAGCATACGAACAATGTCCAACACTACAAATGAATAAGCGAAAGCATCAATATTGGAATGTCGGCCTTTATTAAATTCAACTCTAATCGTTTTTAATGCCATTAAGTTAGTAATGGATGCACGACGAGAGAAAATCATCGTCGAAAATGTTTTTATTGTTTGGCATAAATTTGAAAGAGAGTGAGAGAGAGTGTTGTGCGAGTGCAGTACACATTGTCGATGCATGGGATACATGCGAAAATAGCGTTGGCACAATACAACGTGACTGAACACGAAAAAAATGCATGTCAAACGAATCCGATTTTGATTTGTATTCGATACTCGACACAGTTACGACGCACACTGCAATTGTGCAGACTTGTGTGCGGGAGGTGCAAATGGGGGAATGGGCGACAGCAGCAACAGCGGAACGGTTTGGAAAAAGGGATGGAGAAGGCAAATTCGATGGCTTACCTTGGCCTGGCCTGGCTTGGCAAAGCGAAACGAATCGAATTGAAATACACACACACACACACACGAATTGTTTGTGTGCAATGTTAGCAAACAATTTACACCATTCAACCAGAAAACAAATGATAGCGTTATACATCTTATGTTCGACCGATTACAATCCTACCTCGTTAAATCAATAACCCGATGCAAATGCATCGCCCAACAATGGCTGTTAGTTCGATATACAAAACAATTACTATCAAGATTATACGTCTATCTATCATGCGGTTTTGTGTGTGTATGTGTGTGTGTGTGTATTTTTTCTGCTTTTGTTTTTGTATTTTAGCCAACGACAGTCGATAGAAGCAGGAAAATAAAAATAAACACAAGTGATGCAATTGCAAGCGGTAAGCAGAGCAACAGCAATGGCACAGCGATCAATTTCAAGTCAAAGATCATTGAAAAGGTAGTCGTCTCAATTCAACTGACTCAATCTATTGACGGCAATGATATGGCGAAAAAGCGATGAACAATTGCAAAACAACAGCTATACAAACTTCCGTTACAGCCCCTCGACGACATAAACACTGCATCGAGCATAGATGGATAGAAATGAAGAGAAAAAAATGGCAGCAGCAGCAGCAACAACGATGACGGTGACGACGCAAAATGAAACGAGACCAAGTTGTTGAAAATATTTTGAGATGCAGAAGAAGTATTGTCGATCAATTATTGAGTCGTTCATATGGATTTCTGGATTCTCTCATCCAACACACTGGGAGAGAGAGCGAGAGGCAGAGGGAGAGCGAGCGGAAGGGGGCGACATGAACAAGAGTGCAATGTAAACAGGCTGGCATGAGCACAACCGCATGCTGATTAACTTGGTACAAAACCACCAATCTACAATATCTAAATGTATGGGAATCAAAATAAAGTGAACGATGAACTATCCGGAACAACGAATCGGCATGCAGTAGATAAATGAAGAAAACATAGAATGACGAACGGATGGATGAGAGCGGATAGCTGGAGTAAGAGAAAGAACGGGCCCAAGTGTATGAAGGAGAGAAAAGAAAAAAAAACAACCGGGAAGTGGAATACGGCAAAACGAAAATACACAATTGCAGACAGCGAACGCGACACATACGTATAAAACATACACTATAAAATAAACGCAATTAATTTCCATTCGTTGGTGCAATGAACATTGCAATCAGCCTCTCCGCATCGCTTTTTCCACCGACTCGAGTGATATGTGTACATTGATGCGATGTGCGGATCAAGAGCGAATCACACACCAAATGGGAGAAAAAAGAGGAAAAAGAGAAGAAAAAAAAACCTGTACCCGCTCCCCCGCTCGAAAAACAACAACTCCAACCCGAAACAGATCTTTCGTGCAACAAATTTATTCGTTTGTTCGTCGACGTTGTCGTTGTCGTCGTATACCTACAGCGTTTCAACGACATACCGGGCCATAATTGAGAATGTCTACGTGAAAATTGCATTCGAGATATCAGAGACTGCATGCGACTGACAAAATGAAGTGTCCTTCGTCTGCTCGGCGTGCTCATCTGTCTGTCGCTTGCTCGCTCACTCGCTAGCCTTGCTCTCGGTCGCTTGTATCGCACATTCGCTCGCGCTATCGCGCTCATGCTACAACAAAAATACCAAAATCCGTTGAAATAAAGATTTATGGGAAATGTCGCCATTGCCTCGGCACAGTTGACATTGTATATCTGTGCATCAATTTCAATTCGTTTGAATGTTTCCGATGTTGAATGAGCCTGTATGCGGATGGATATGTTCAGATGTGCGAGAAGAGAACGAAGCGAAACGAAAAATGAGAATGAGCAAGGCATGCAATGTGTGGCCGTGTGTGATGGATGTATGTTTGTATAACTGACTACCTGACAAAAAATTGTTGGTCTATATCTTCCTTTCTGTATTACTGTTGTTGTCGTCATCGTCATCGTCGTCGTCGTTCTCTGTTGCAATTTTATATGTTCTATTTATTTATTATTTTATAGGGATGTGATGTTTCTGTTGTTGTGTGTATCGAGTGCCTTCATGTTTCTGCTCAACGATATTGACGATTATTTTGTTATGTTATTGGGTTGTACGTGTGTTATGTTATTGTGTTATACTTTTTTTTATTGGCATGCGAATTGTTTTTTTTTGTATATTTAATTTGTCAGCAATTACCTTGATCATCACTCAGCAACGGTATTTCCGTTTCCAATTGCACATAATTCACAAGTTCTGAACTTAATAAAATTAAAAGCACAAATTTTAAACACAGTGTTGATTTCAATTTCGTGGTCGTCATTGTTTCGCCTGTGTGTGTGTGTTTTTCAATTTCTTCTTTTTCTCTTCACTTATGTTTCATTCGCTTTTGATCTCTCTCAATGAAAATGGAATAATTTTTTTTTCTCGCTTTCTGTATGTCTGTTTCGTTCTTTTGAAATTGTTCGTTGATTAAACCATAGCATAGTATGGTGTTGAATGCTTATTGTTTTTTTTCGCTCGTTCGTCTCTCGTTAAATGCTCGTTTTCACCAGAAAAAAAAAACAATGATTTGACTTTCTTTCACGTACGTTTAGGAGCAATTGAGCTGTACCGTTTTTTTCTCCCAAGCTCTTCTTTTGTGCCGACCATATTCTGTTCGACCATCATGCGATGGCAATTTGAGGGAAAAAAAATTCTTTTCTGTTGAAAAATTAAAGCAAAATATCCGCTATTCTTTTGTCGCTTGCCAATTTATAACAACTGATTGAACTGCAAGCATGCCGGGAGATGGCAAAGGGAGAGATGAAGGTGGAATGCATGAAGAATAGAAAAAAAACACAACGGAAATGAGAAAAACGTCCAACTTCTTTGATTATGCCGTTCACCCTTGCCTTCACTTCTTCGCTCTCTTTTTTTTCATATTTTCTTAATAAAATTTGAATATTTGAGTTCGACAATTCGTGGATCGTTGGTTCATTTCGTTCATCTGGCTGTATGTGTGATCTAGTTGAATTTAATTCAATTAGGAGAATACAGAAAGAAAAGTACATTGAATTTAGATGTTCGCCTTTGTCTTCGTTTCATTTTTTTAATTAATATTCGCAAAAAAAAAGTTTTAATGCATCTTTCTTGTTTGCGTTGGCCTCAAACGAAAGTTCGCTTTTGCGTTGTGTGTACTCGTTGATTTATTCTGCTCCTTAGATATCGGTGACGATTTTCGTGAGCCAAAAGCATGAAAAATAAAATTCGAGTGGTAAAGTTTTCAAAATAAAAACGGAAATTTGCGCGCTCGTCCACTCTCTCTCTCTCTCTCTGTCTCTCTATCTGTCTTTCTTCAATTCTGTCGTCGTTAGTCAGACCGAATGTACGATATGTGCGCTGTTTTTTTTCACTTGTTTTTGTCTTCTGCGAATAAAAGCGCATCACTTAATACGTTCGACGCAAGTGATATATTGGCACGGCCGGATTACACGTACTTTGTGTACCTGCACAACAAAATAACAATTACAGTTTATTGGCTCACGTGGCATTCGAAAAACAACTCTCCGACTGCATAATGTGTAAACGAGGAAGCTTTTTCATTCTTATGGCGTAGCAGTAGCACTAGCAGCGAGAGCATCACCTCGCTCGTATATAGTATAGTGTGGAGTGAATGTGAGAACGGTGAGAAAACAAACGGACAAAACGGGTAACAACGGAACGTGGAATGAATTCCTGCAAACTTTAATATGAAAACACACCGTCAAAAAATGCGATTCGACTCGGATTGTGGCTGAATGATTATTATTCAAATGCGAATCACGTTGAAACACGGTGATGAACACAACAAACGCGGGTGAAAGCGAGCAAAAAGATTGAAAAATATGTGGATGTGTCTCTCGGTGTGTGCTTTTTTTCCATTCTGGTTTAATTCATTCTCTCCCTCTGCCTATCTCTCTCTCTCTCTCTCTCTCTCTCTCTTTCTCTCTCTCTCCTTCGACTTGATCTCGGTCGTTGTTGTTTTTTCATTTCTTCTTCTTTCACTCGGTAAAATGGAAAGGCTAATTGCAAGTTGGAAACGAGTTGGTTTGCTCATTCGTTCGTTTGCTGCGGTTACAAGTGTTTCGTAGAGTGCAAGACATTTGATCGGCACAAAACGTTTTTGTTTTGTTTTTATTCGCTCTGTTGATTATTATTGGCAAAACGACAAAATGTAGCGCGCTTCTTCGTCGTTAATTTTTATCGTTGCGTGTACAATTAATTTGTTGACATCAGAACACTTGAACAATGTAAACATAGCACATCAACTCTAAACTTCGAAACTCCTCGAGAACATAAACTACCGTAATAATAACAATAATAATAAGAGCAGCAACAACAAGAACCAAACTATAGAGTAGAAAAAAAACAAAACAAAACAGTAACGAACAAGAACAATATGATTTTTCGAAAAGCTTTTCCGTTAATCGAGAGTATAGTGAAACTGACGGAAGTCGTCTACATATCTCTCTCTCTGTGTGTGTGTGTGTGTGCGAAACTCTTTCGTATCGTGCGAACCGTAAACACACGAGAAAATTGCTGAGTGTTTGGGAAAATCGGAAAAATCAACAGCTATGCTGTGCTTACAACGAGACGTACCACCCAGAGCACGTTTATATCGGTGAAGCGTTTGTAACAAACTGATTGTGTGCTCGCAACACCGTTGAATGCGAAGGCATTGTGTGTGCCTTCAGTTTAAACGAAAAAACGGAAAATATCTTGTGATTCGATTGTGAACGATGGGAACATAAGGTTCCCGCACTTTGCAACTGGATGGATGGAACTTTGAAACTATATGATGGAGATTCGTGACTGTATGCCGTTATGGCCCGTGTTGTCGTGTCGAATGCCGTGCTGCATAGCATCCAACACACAGAGCAGAGAGCAGAGCCATTGAGGACGGTGCTGCTACTGCTGCCGTCGCCGCTGCCGCTATTGCTGTTGATGTTGCTGCACTCACACAGCACACCGGAGGGAAAGAATTGCCCTTCGTTTCTGCATCGCGCGCGCTATGTTGTGGCCATTTAGTGTTGGCATTGGATGCCGAAAGAGCGAGTCGATTCGGCTCCTCTCTTTCCACGTCACTTGCATGCGTTTCGGCGATGCTTTTCGAAATGCACACCGAAATGCACACACAGAATGCACACATTAAAAATATTTAGAATGCTTCGTAGTGATTCAGTTTGGATTTTTTGGATAAAAGGCGCCGGCGCATCAAATTTGTTTTCCAACGTGTACATTACGTAAGTTATGAGGAAAGTACGGTTGTTCAGTTTTAATGTTCATATGCTTGTTGCGAGAGTACGGTGTGTGTATAAGTTATTTGCACACGCAACTCTCTCGTCTTTTTCGCCAAAGTACAACCGATAGAGTGAAAGAAGAAGAAGAAGAAGCAGCAGCAGCAGCAGCAGAAAAAAGCGATGAAAAATATGTGCTCTTCAATACTCGCCGAACTGATAGTTCATCTAACTGAATAGAATAGAATAGAACCGAGTTCGGGTATCGTATCGTCGGCACAGCGCGTCGCATACTTTCCATTGTCAGTTGTATGGTTTGTGCCATGCAGTGGATCAAACGATAGAGAGATAGAGAAGAATGGAGATAGAATGAAAAACAATTGGGAAGAGAGCGTACAAGACTTTGGCTGCTGGTGTGTAATGATGACTGTTTCCACATCATATACATTCAGGAGGGATCTATTATGACACCAGAACATGCCACATTTTCAGAATTATATTCTTTACGCGTTTTGTTTCATCACCTAATATAGCATTTTATGATTGTATTTTGGTACCTGTGCGGTGCACTGGAACGCTGCTTCTTCTTATTGTTTATTCTCTCTGTTTCACTTGCTCGCTCTATCTCTCGATTTGTATGATGTATCATACATAATTTTTTTTTGTTCGTCTCTTTGTTCGCATTTTCAATTTTAAAATCATCTCTTGCCGTGTCTCGAAATGATGGGACTTGCTGAGCGCTTTATTCACAATGCGTACGTTGTACGTACCCTTTGAATGCGTGTGCGATGTGCACGGTGTAATGCACTTTAAAGGAAAAGTACGTCAAATGGTAATGTTGGCGCTGAGCTCACATAATGTGCTCGAACTTTATCATAGTCATACACAACACGCAACAGACACACACACACACACCTCACCGTTGGCGAATGAGCCAACCAGCGATGATACATGGAGTGTGAGTGTTGAAAGCAGTGAAAATATTATTTGAATAGAAAATAGAAAAATAAAAGAGCCATCGAAGTAATTCGAAAGTGAGACACACACACACACACACACACACCGGATGAGGGATGGAGAGAATATGAAATGGAAAATATGAAACAAATAAAAATGAAAATATGTATGCACCCCTGCTTCGCGTGAATCTTTTCTTCGTTTTTTTTCCCACCCATCGCCACCATCAACCCAACATAAACACATAAATAGATGAACATGGGACCACGTAGAGACATACACGACTTTGAGACAAGTCAAAACAAGTAAGGAACGCAAATAAGGGTTGCTTAACGACCACTAGCTCGATCGAGATGGAAAACAATACAAAATAACAGGTATTGAAAATAGCAGTGTGGAAATCGCAAATATAAATCCAGAGACGAATTTCACATTCATAAACACAAGTACAATGGCATTTGCTTCAGCATCAGCAGCATTGAAACAGAACCGAACCAAATACACACATTCGTACACATAGCATACGACGTTTCAATTGTTTCATATTGTTTGTTTGTACGCTTCAAAGACTCGCACTTTCATACAATTTCTCAGTGCATATTTCGGAGTGTTGAACAGTGTCTAAAATTGACAAGTACCTGGAATATCATTCGCCGGCGAAAAACTCGGGCTTTTTGTATCTCAATGCATACAAACACACATATATCGCTATATTGTTGTTGTTGTCATTGTTGTTGGTTGTGGCAATGCCACAAACAAGACGGAGACAAGTTTATTGGAAGTGATCGAACCGATGACTCTCGGTTAACTCGGGTATATCGATGGCTCTCGGCAGTCGTAAATCGTGTCCGCTTTAGACGCTGGTGTCTAGAGAATATTACCGAAATATGCGTTCATTGGTTGTGCACTCCATGCAAACGAATGAAAATTACGAAATCGAAAATGGTATAAACAAAATGAACATTTTCGGGTAGAATACATGCTATTTCGCTCATGTACACGTTAGCACACTCGCACTCGCACTCACACACGCCAAACCATAAGTATCGCACGTTCAAATTCGAACGGTGCACAATAGAACACGTCAAATATACCCATTTTCTGCAAAAGCAAGTGATTTAGATTTTCGAGAAAGCGACAATCGAAAGGAGTGGAATATACACGAACAAAAAAATAATATGATGAGGAAACAACAACAACAGGAGCAATGCATATATTCTATACATGTGAATTGGGGGTGCTTGCTTCTCTATAATAATCCACACACACACACACACACACACACACACACACACACACACACACACACACACACACACACACACACACACACACACACACACACACACACACAC